CTGTGAGTCTGAACTGAATTGAAAACTTGTTCTCTAGCTGGATTGTGACTGATCAGATTCGGATTCTATGTCTTCTAAAGATTTTGGTATGTCTGGTGTAACCTCTAGTCAGAGTGGGATGAGCGGAGGTTTTGACATGAGTTTTCCCATGGCTGTGATTCCCTTTGATGGCCTCAATTACCTAGAATGGTCAAGGGGAATCAAGCTCTACATAACTGCAAGGGGAAAAACGGGGTATATCAATGGCAGAATCAGAAAACTCCAGTCTAGTGGTGTGGAACATGATAGGTGGGACCAGGAAAACAACATGGTGTTGTCATGGCTGTTATTGTCTATTCTGCCACAAGTGAGAAAGACCTTCATGTGGGCAGAAACAACTCATGAGATATGGGATTAGGCACAGCCTACATACTCCGAACAACGGCATTATGCTAAAATATATCAGTTGCAAGCTGCCTCCTCAACTTGTAAACAGGGGGAGAGGAGTCTCTCCACCTACTATTCAGACCTGACTTCTGTTTGGAAGGAACTAGATCACTATCAGAATATAGACTGGAAATGTGATGCAGATGCCAAAGCATACAAGTCTCTGGTTTCCCAACAACGAGTGTTTGCCTTTCTCATAGGGTTGAATCCCACATATGAATCTATCGGGGTTCAAATATTGGGGGGTAAAGACCTCCCAATAGTACAAGAAGTATATGCTCTAGTACAGTCAAAAGAGAGCAGACGGAATGTGATGAATAATCCCGAGGGAGAGCATGTTGCTTTAGCAGCTAAAGGGGGTGTTGCTACGGGTGGTGGAAATTCCTTCAAGAAGAGTGACTTCCAGAAGAAAGTTGATGACAAAGATAAGCTATGGTGTACACACTGTCAAAAGACTAGGCATACTCGAGAGACATGTTAGGAGCTTCACGAGAAGCCAAAGTGGGCTCAGGAAATGAGCAAAAAGCCGGATCAAAACAAGAAGCCAGGACAGCAAGGTCAGAGAAAGTTTAATGCAGCAAATTTAGCCTCTCAAGAGCCTCAATCATCAACCACTACCATGAGTCCTTCCGGGACTGATCCGAGAGAAGATATCATTAATTCTTTCCATGACCATTTGGAGTTGTATGGGAGGGCAATCTGCCAGATGGATTCTGCTTCTCCACCCTCGACTTCCTTTACATCTACATCTGGTAACGGTAATTCTGCCACAACTTTCCATGTGCCCTATCATCCCTCATATTCCCCTTGGATAATAGATTCTGGAGCCTCGAACCATATGATGGGTAAGTCCAATTGTTTTCAATCTTATCATCTATTATCTGGTTGAGACAAGGTGAGACTTGCTGATGGTTCTTTCTCCACCATAACTGGTCAAGGAACCACCCCCCTTCCTCTTGGACTCACCCTCTCTGATGTTCTACATGTTCCTAAACTACCGATAAATTTGTTCTCTGTTAGTAGTATAACAAATTCGTTAAACTGCTTAGTAACCTTTTTTCATTCCTCTTGTATGATACAGGATTTGGCCTCGGGGAAGACAATTGGTACAAGTCATATGGTAGATGGTCTTTACATGTTAGAGAATAAAGCTTGTCTTGCAGCTATTGAGTCCAAGAGTCTGTTTAATAAGAGTCAAGTCCTTTTATGGCACAGTCATTTAGGTCATTTATCTTTTGAGTCATTGAAAGTGTTGTTACCATATTTATTTAAATCAGTGTCAGTGTCGGATTTCACATGTCAAACTTGTCAGTTGAGCAAACATTGTAGAAATCACTTTACTTCAAAAAATAATAAATCTGAATTTCCTTTCCGTATTGTGTATTCTGATGTCTAGGGCCCTGTTACTTTAACATCCGAGTCTGGCTATAAATATTTCATTACACTTATTGATGACTACACCCAATATACATGGGTGTACCCTATGCAGTTCAAAGATGAAGTACCAAAAATCGTTAAAGATTTCCAACGCTTGATATTCACTCAGTTTCAAACGGAAATCCAAATTTTCCAATCAGACAATGCCAAAGAATATTTCCATAGTGATCTCACGGAGTTTTTCGCTTCGTGCGGATCCATACACCATAGCTCATGCTCTAGAACCCCCCAGCAAAATGGTGTTGCAGAAATAAAGAATCGTCATCTCCTTGAAGTTGCTCGCGGGTTACTTATACACATGAATGTTCCTAAACGTTTTTGGTTGGATGTTGTATTGTGTGTTGCCTATCTCATCAACCGTATGCCCTCTCGCTTGTTAGGGTACAAGGCCCCACCTCAGCTTCTTTTTCCTAAGGCTCCCCTCTTCTCTATTCCTATCTGTGTGTTTGGTTGTCGTTGTTTCGTCCAGGACCTTTCTCCTACTCGTGGAAAACTTGATCCTCGTACCATTCCTTGTGTCTTCTTGGGTTATCCTTCTTCCCAAAAGGGTTATCGATGCTTTGACCCCGTTTCCAAGAAGTACTATGTCTCTATGGATGTGTCTTTCTTTGAAAGTGATCCTTTTTTCCCGGTTTCTCCTTAGGGGGAGAGTAAAGTGGAGGAGAAACCAGTTCAGGTTCAGGTTCTCCCTCCTTTGTCTGACCCTCCTCTATTCCGTGTTTTTCGTTGTCGCAAGAGCCAACTAAATTCAAGAGTTGTGGAGCAACTTGAAACTGTACCGCCAACATCATCAGATTCACCGGGGACAGATCATATCCAACCAGGTACTATCATTCCTATTGATGTTCCCGATCCTCTTGCCATAGATATTCCATTTGGTGGTGACCTTGACATTCCCATTACAAAAAGGAAGGGAGTTAGGTCTTGTACCACCAAGTATCCTATTACCCATTTTGTTACCTATGAGAACATCTCACCCTTCTTTCGTGCTTTCATTTCTTCCATTGACAGTGTCCCTATCCCAAAAAATGTGGCAGAAGCTCTCTTAGTACCTCAATGGACAGATGCAATGAAAGAAGAGATAAATGCCCTACATAAAAATGGCATGTGAGAATTAGTGGATCTTCCTGAGGGTAAGGAACCGGTAGGGTGCAAGTGCGTGTTCACAATGAAGCACAAGGCTGATGGCACGATAGAAAGGTACAAGGCTAGGTTGATGGAAAAAGGGTTTACCCAGGTATATGGTGTAGATTATGTAGAGACTTTTGCCCTAGTAGCCAAGATGAACTCCATTAGAGTCCTTTTCTCCCTTGCGGCAAATCTTAATTGGGATCTTCATCATCTAGACATTAAAAACGCCTTGCTGAATGGAGACCTTGAGGAAGAGGTGTACATGGTCCAACCTCCTGGCTTTAGTGCCCTAGGCAAAGAGCAAAAAGTGTGCAAACTAAAAAAGTCTTTGTATGGTCTGAAGCAATCACCGAGAGCCTGGTTCAGCAAGTTTCATCTGGCTATACAGCAGATTGGATACAAACGATGTTAGACTGGTCATACTCTATTTGTGAAAAGAGGGGAAGGAAAGATTGCAGCCTTGATAGTGTATGTTGATAACATATGATCACAAGTGACTGAAGGTTGAAATTCAAAGACTAAAAGATTTCTTAGCCACTCAATTTGAAGTGAAGGATCTAAGACCCCTTCGATATTTCCTTGGAATTGAAGTGGCCCACTCTCAAAAGGGGATCTTCATTTCTTAGAGGAAATACATCCTAGATCTGTTATAGGATACAAGAAAACTAGGGGTTAAGCCAGCCGACTCTCCCATTGATCCAAATCATAGACTTGGTGACTGTTGTGGTGAAGTTGTCAAAGATGCAAAACAATTCCAAAGACTTGTGGGAAGGCTCCTGTATTTATCCATGACCAGGCCAAACATTGCTTATGCAGTAGGTGTTCTTAGTCAGTTCATGCATGCTCCTAAGACCATATACTTAGAGGTAGCAGAAAGAATACTCAGATACCTAAAGAGGTTTCCTGGAGCTGGTTTGTTATACCAAAGGAATGGTCATTTGAAGATTGAAGTATATACAGATGCTGATTGGGTTGGATCAGTTGATGACAGAAAGTCTACTAGTGGATGTTGTTCCTTTGTGGGAGGAAACCTAGTCACATGGGGAAGCAAGAAACAAAATGTGGTGGCTAGGTCTAGTGCTAAAGCTGAATATAGAGCAATGTTCCATGGGGTGGCTGAAGGCATGTGGATAAAGAATCTGTTGAACGAACTAGGTTTTCCCGTTGATGGCCCTATGTCCTTGTATTGTGATAACAAGGCTGCCATCAATATTGCAGCCAACCCAGTTCTTCATGATAGAACTAAGCATATAGAGGTTGACAAACACTTCGTTAGAGAGAAAATTGTTAATGGGGAAGTGTGCACCCCATATGTGAGTTCTAAAGAGCAACTGGCGGATATATTTACAAAAGGTTTACTGCTTACATCACTCGCGGCATGATGATTTATGTGACAAGTTGGGCATGATTGACATCTACATCCCAACTTGAGGGGGAGTGTTGAAATAACTTAGTTTATTTTAAGTTTAGTGCCGCAAGGGCACCTTTGTAATTTTCTCTTTTCTTTTTTCTGTATAGTCGCCCTAGTATAAATACCAAATAAACCAGCGCCGCCAGTTGACTTTTTGCCTCTCTCAATTCTGTCTCTCTTCTCTCTTTTATATCTTCTCCCTTCTCCTCCTTCTCTTCTCTCTGTTTTGAAATCATACCATCTCAGCACCAAGAAAACAAAGCTAAAAGTATTACCAGATCTAACGCCTATTTTTCTCAATTCCACTGAAGTTGCAGGATCAATATCAAAGATACATCATTTCCAACCAGTACTGAACTTTTTTACTAAAGAAAAAACTAGTATTGAACATTAAATCATGAAATGCCATGCTATTTTTAGATGTATAAACATAACCATATTCTATGTTATGTGATGATACAACAAACTTTAGCTTTTATCCATATGATCTTTTAAAAAAGGCATGCAACAATTTTGAGCACATAAGACAGAAAAACAGGAGATATGCCATGAAATGTGCTTCAAAATATTGGTGCAGAGTACAACAGTAACATACCCAACTAAGTCTGCAGCAAGAACAGCTCTCAGAAGATCTGATCGGGATGGCAATGTCCTATGAATTTCTGATGAAGGGAAGGGTGTGTGGAGGAACCAGCCAACTTTCATGTTTCTATTATATTCCTTTAAGCATTTTGGGAGAAACATAAGATGGTAGTCATGGCACCAAACAACATCTCCCTCTTCATAATGTTTGTTTACCACATCAGCAAACATCTGATTTGCCCTCTTGTATGCATCAAACTGGGACTGAAAACTCCGGGTGGTTGCAAGACGATCTTCTTGTGGAAGTCCAAGGTAATGAAAAAGAGGCCACAAGATGTTATTGCAGTAGCCATTATAATATTGATGAACTATCTCCTCATCAAGGAAAACTGGGATGCATCTCTGCATTTAATTAAAAATACTTTAGTAGGGTGAGCCATGAGGAACTCAACAATCACTTTGATGATGCAAAAATATAGAGTTAATTAACCCATTGAATTCAAAATGGTAGGAGCATATAGGAAATGTCAATAAACTGCATATCAAATAAAATCTGAAGGACAAACCAAGACTTTATACCTTTTCAGCAAGGGCTTTAGTAAGAGCTCTCTGCCCAACCTCATCAGGTACATTTACACCAGCCCACCCAATCCATCTTGCCTCAAACTCCTTCACTCCTATGAGAAAATTATCCAGGATGCACTTTCTCATTTTCAGGTGAAAAACTCAAAACATACAGGTGCGTATGTGTCTGTGTGTGTGTGTGTGAAGAACATTAAAGGTCTATATTTAAACTGTAAAGAATAATGTAATCCAACATATTGTTAGCAACAAGGCAAAAACTCAGTAAAGAAACAAAAAAGAAGTGCTCATTTTGGATGAAAAAACTAAAAGAAAACCAACAAAACATATGAAACTGAAGAAAAGAAAATAAAACTAAAGAACAACAATAAATAACAATTGAAACAAGAGTTTAGCAACCACCTACCAAGCAGAGCACTGACCAGACCCCCTGCACTTATCTCCAGAGACCATGAATCCTCACCCCTCCTAACTGCAGAGACAGGCAACCTGTTTGCCACTACCAACAGTCGTTGTTTGGAAGGCCTTTTCTCTTGTCGTTCATATCCCTCGCTATATGATCTCACTGCTGAAGCTGCATCAAAAGACTCTTGATCATAGGGAACTTTGCAGTTGTTACCCTCTCTTGAGTTCAATCCATGCTCATATGGTTCGGTCTCCCTGTTACCATCACTACCTTCCTCATTTGGATGAAATGTCCTGTTGGATTTCCTTAGCTCCCTTAGCTCTCTTTCTCTTAGGAGCCTCTCCAATCGAGTTGTGGGGACAGAAGCATTACGGTTGCACTTGTTTCCAGGCATACGCTCAGCCTGTAGCCCAACCTGCAACGCCAATTTCACAGGAACTACTGTCTATCAAAACAGTTTATTTTTTTTTTCCTTGCGTTTGTTTGAGCCATATCAAGTCATCACCAAGCCCCATACGACACATGAATATAGAAGGTATGGCTATTACCAGAAATGATAAACTAAGTCCAAGTCCCACAACCAAGCAACAGTCTAAACCACTCCCTATAAAGCCAGTCGGATTCAGGGCAGTGTTACATTGTTCTCTGAGGATTTCTATCAACTAATTAATGACTTGGTTTTTCTACTGCAGTCAAAGAATTTTACCAATTCCGATATGGTAAAGCATCATTATCTTCAGTAAATTAGAAGAAACAAAACAGAACAAATAGACATACACACAAACAGAGTGAACAGAAATATTAGGTTCCACCAAATGAAGAAAAGAAAGAGCTAGTGGAGGCTTGACCCAACTGAGCACAAAGGCCAAACCTCTTTTTCCTTTTATCTGCTCAAGTTTCTAGAACCCGCATCATTCAGAAGCAAAACAAGCACAGTGTATGGGAAACCCAGAAACCATAAAAGATAAGAAATCAAGGACACATTTCTCAGATAAAATTTGAATCCTCTGCCAACTCTAAAATCCAAAAACCATCAAAAAAGTTCAGAACAAAGACAAACTACAAGACCCATTTTCAGAAGACCGAGAAAAACACCTTGGACCGAAAAACAAGAAAGCCAGGAACTCCATACAGGTAAAACAAAACAAAAATAATACCAAAAAAAATAACAGGTATACGCCAGCATGGTCCATGGTCTCACCTAATTTCGAACCCAAAAATTTTGATCTCCCGAAGGATTTTACCACCACCACCACCACCTATTATAAGTTTATAACTCACCACCTGCGTCGAGCAAATCCTTCAAAACCGTCCGTACCTTTCTGTGGGTTCAACAGATAGTTGACTAACCGATATTCCTGGTTGCTCTAGCGAGGAGCGACGGAGAAAAAATCTCCAGTTTCCAGAAGTTCATAATCCAATAATCCATGTTCGCATTATATAGTGAGAGATAGAAAGAGAGGGAGAGAGAGAGAATGACAGAGAAGTAGAATGAGACATTTAACCAAAGCTTCGTGGAAGCTTTATAGTTGCATAAAGCCTTTGCCATGCAAAGCAATCATTAATTCAGGAGTCATTAAAATATAACTTTGGTTTTATTTGATCTAATCAATGTTTAGTAAACAACCCAGAAAACAGAGATGGAGATTTGTACTAATCTTTGTATTCGTATGGATGGTTAATTAATTAAACTGTGCTAAATCCACAAACACATGGATCTGTTATGAACTAATGGATTGAGTGGGGTCAATTAACTCACAGCCACACGATTTACAGGAGCCCTTCCATGATTTCATGATTTTCTCGTGGGCCTCTGACAAGCTTCACATCAAGGGTCACGATCATCTTATTCTCCATTGATTATTGGAGTTTGATGGGTAAGTGTTGCGGGTAACAAATCCAGGGTGATTTGGGCATAAAATGATATTGAATGGGGCACACCCATGGTGAAAAGATAAAAATACCCCTCCCTTCTAAAATGTAAGAGAACGCATCACATGAGGATTAATGGGTTTGTCCCTTCGTAGAAACAAAAAAGAATTCCTTGTTTGGTTTAGTTTTTCTTTGCACCCTAGATATATTCTTTTACTTATAGCCCAAAGTGGTAAATCATAAATAATTATCCTTTGGATAGAAAAAAAAAAAAAAGAAAGAAAGAAAATTCCATGGGTATACCTGTGGACCCAAACTATATTCCTTCACGTCTCCCCCCTCAATTTTTGGTTAAGATTATGTTTGTTTTGGAGATCCCTCAATTCTCTTTTTTTTTTCTCTTATTTTCTATCAACTCAAACATGGTTTAAGGTCCTCTGTTCACACAGTAGGGAGTAGAAAATGACTTAATAAGAAATCAAATCATAAGTCATTTTCTAGAAATTTTGCATGCTTTAGAGGGGAAAGCATTTTCCATGTGATGGGCATCCACTGAAAAGATGAAGATATAGATCTTTATTTGGAGAGAAATCTCTAATAGAACCACTCCCATGGGCCTTTTTGTCAATGCATCCTTATCTCCTTATTTTGGCGAATGGGCTACATACACACAGGTAGATTTGATCCCAAGTCTCAGCTACAATTAGTTAGAGAGACCTTACCATCAAGCTAGCTGGCACCTATCTAAGAAAGGAACAATATAAGTTTTAATAAATATAAAAGAGCATAAAATTGTCATTTTCCCAGGTAGGTGCTCCCATAATTAACCTCTCAATCTGCTACTCACAAACATACATTCATACATTTGGAACATCTCTCCATGAATGACAATATATATAAGATACAACTATAAGAGATATTCTCAATGTGTGACTGCAGTGTCTTATGGATAGCATTCTTGTAGGGGGCAAATCCCCAAGAATTGCTACTGAAGTTCCCTTCCATGGATATGTAGCCTATTACTCCAAAGGTTGATAAGGGTATCTACTAGCTGGAGGGTAAGATGCAGACATGCAACAAGTCAAGAATGTTAATCTTGAAACTTCTGGTGTACAATCGTCTACAAGTCAAGCACACTGAGTGCTAACCAAGCCAGCTCCAACTGATATCATGGTAAGGTAGGGCAGAAGATGCAGATTCCAATATTATTTTCAACTCAATTTCCACTTATAAGCAAGCATTGAAATATAAATTCAAAGACACTACACATATCCACCCCAAAATTCCTAAGCAAGAGACATGGTTCATGCTATGTTATCTGTGGTATGATTATATGCATTATAGTTATAACATTGACAAGAGGAATTATCCCATGTTTGGATAAGCTTCGGGTTTGAGCTTTTGGGCTGTGGTAAACAAAAATGTGGCAAAAAGTATAGTAAGCATTTGGTAAGTGTTTATTTCAAAAACATAACCTAAAGCCTTAAAAGACAAAGCTTAAAATTGGGATTTTAAAAATACAAATCCCTAGCTTATCCAAATCCAAGTTTAGTGTCATTTGTATTTCTAGATCTTGTTTGGCACTATATATACATATTTGTATTTGTACACTTCCCAAAAGGATCGGTTTGGAGAAGAGTGCAAATACAAATATGTTTGGTGCAAAAACTTGTATAAGCTATTTTTAAATAACCTTGTCTTTGTACTTTGTATTTACAATCTTTCCAAACTTACTGTTATTTTCATCACTTTAATAGTGAAAACTTTGTTTTCTGCCCCCCCCCCCCTCCCCTTTTTTTGAATTTCTATTGATGTAAATGGCAAGTAAAACAAAATTTCATTTTCAACAATATAGATCAAATATTTCAGCTTGAATTTTCTTTTCATCCATTTTACATTGAACCCGATACAGCCCAAGGAGAAAAGTTTAATCATATTCCCTTAAATATATTTATAAATGATTTCCTCCCTCGCCCCCACCCTTTAGAGCCTGAATTTACATTTCTACCCATAAAACTAAGACTAAGTTTGAAAGGAGTACAAATGCAAATATGTAAGCTCAATTTCGGAAGAGTGAAAATATAAATATGTTTAGTGTAAAATTTGTATTTCATCCTCACATCTCTGTACTTGTATGTTTTTATTCATGGGGAGATATTCCAAATGCACAACTGTAAGGGTCTTTGAGAACGGTTTTGTAAGGACAAAATCCAATTTCTTCACTACAAAACCTTGTATATAATATTTCTAAGCCTTGTATTTGCACTGTACATATTTGTGTTTGTATGATTCCCAAACTGAGCCTAAAGTTTGGCTAATTTCAAAAGCTCTTTTGTAATCTCAATCGTATGCTTATTCTCTTGGTGAAATCTACTAGGACAAATGGAGCAAGAAAATTTTATCTATGAAAATATGGGTAAATTTCTTTTCTTCTTCCATAGTGTACCAACAATTACTTTTTCACCCTCATTATCCTCTTTTTACATTTCAAGTAAATTATACTATATTTATTCTTTTTATAAGAACAAAATTAGCCCAGAATTGTCCATCCCCTTCTTATATATATATATATATATATATATATATATATATATATATACATATATATTCATTTTTTTGTGGGATGAGACATAAAAATAGATGCCCATCTAAATCTATCCAGATTTTTAATATCTAGAAGTTAGAATAAATCAATATTAATATTGAGAATAAAATATCCCATGCAAATATAAAATACTAATATATTTATAAAGAGAAAAATCAGGTTTTCATGAACATAGTTAGACTTAGGAAGTTTTTGTTTAAAAAAGAAATGAAATTTTACATATTGGCAAGCATCCCCTTAGGCCTTGAAAAGATTTGTTTATGAAATTTAGGGTTCAGTATAACATTCTTTTCCAAATTCATAACTTGTTTAAAGGGGAAAATTTATAATTAACATAGATACTCTACCTTAGTATTAAAATTAATTAGGAGTTGTAAAACAAATTTAGAGGTATTGTTTTCTTTTGTTAAATCATATTACATCTTGTATTTGATATCTCAAATTGTTTCTATAACAACACTAATACCAGATTCTTATTGAAAATTTTTGGCTCATTGGATCTAAGCTATTTATTCTTGCATCAAATGAATTTGCAGCATAGACATGAGGAGGCCTTTTTTCCTTTACTAAGAAACATTAGTAAATTCTACTTTTAAAATTGTTAACCATATATATAATGGTTTTAAATACTATGTTTACTCTCTAAACAATTCCTTGCCCTAACTATTTGAAGTTGGAGATACATGATGACAATGTAACTGAGTAAATCCCACCAAACAGACTAGCCTTTTTTATCTTCTTTTTTTTTTATTTTTGAATCAATGGTTAATGCAATGTTGGAACATTTTAAGTGATGTCCTGTATGTTATCGTGTGGAAAAAAGTCTGTGTATACCATTTTATGACATTAGAAATCTTTCAAACTGGTTGTTTAATTATAGTAAGATTCTTGAAGTGCTTCAAGTAAGAACCACAAAAAGCAATCAACTCACATAAGAATCTGTTTAGACAATTAAATTAGTTCCCCTCTTGACTTTGTGTTACCATATAGGATTTAAAACTATATCTTATTTTATGAGTGGATGGGAAAAAAACTTTTACTGTAGCCAAAGTTTTAGAATATAACAAATTAATTTATGTATTACTTAGAAATTTTAGATAGTAACTAATTTTATTCTAACAAATAAATAGTGACCATTACTTGGTAAAAATGTGTGATTGTAAAATCTTGGGCTATCAAGCATGAGAATGTAGGTAATAGTTTGAGGGTGGTCTCTTTAATTTGTGTGAAAAGATGCCTAAGGTTAGGACCATACTCAGTTTACCCTTCTCAAGATTCCATGAGAATGCATGCATGTAATAGTCTGTGAGAGCGAACACTTTATGCGAAAAGATGCCTAAGGTTAGGACCATACCCAGCCTATCCCTCCCAAGACTCCAGATAATTAGGACTAACATTGGGTAAATGGTTGGAGAGGAAAATAAAGAAATGAATCTTTATAGGTCATATAGATCTTAAAGCTCAACCTTAACCAGAGGTTCAATTCCATTATATAGCCTATTAAATGTGTGCAAAAATAAAGAAAAACAAATAGACATAGGAACCAAAATATAAAAATGAAAAGAAGATTGTATCATTGAAATTATAATCATATTCTCTTTTGTAAACAAATTTGAATAAATTATAATTGCATGGTTATTAACTTATTTTCTTCCTCTTTTATTTATAATGCTGCCTAAATGCTAGACATTTTCATTTAAATTCCATCAACTAGGGGGGCGGTTAATCGAACCATGTGCAATTTTTGCAAACCGAACCGGTCCACTGGTTTTGGTTTTTGACCAGTTTGGTTCTTTGGTTCTTCGGTTCTTCGGTTTTTTATATTTATAATATATATTATATAAATTTATGTATAATATTATATTATAAATAATAAATGATATAATATATTATAAATATTATAAAAATATATAATATATTTATAAATGGATTATTGTAAATATAATATATGTATACATTTATATATATATATATATATATAATGAATTATATTTATATATAATA